ACTGTGACAAATTATTAGGCCATGAAACTAGGCTACTGAAACTACGAAATAAAACCAGGTCATTGTTTTCAAATCATAGATGTAGATTACTACCGGTATATCATGTCTATAATACGTCCGGACAATTTAAAAGGAGTTCAAATTGCAAAAGCTTTATTTGTATATTAAAGCTAATGAACATGTATCTAGGTGCATTGTTGGAATATTTGATCTTTATTTGTTTTAAATGCTGTCAAATTTTACCCACTCTATATCATGTACCATACAACATGTAAATCAGATATTTAAGAAGTGAAGTTGTCTACATTTACTTGCCTTCTCCTGTATTTTCTTTACATTTGACTTAAAGTCAAGGCACAATTCACACAATTTCTGATACTGATTTTTTTCTTGCATCTTAAAAAGAAAGAGTATATGGGAAAGAAAGAGGGATAGAGGTACAGGTATAAGAGAAGGAGAGTTGAGTTTATATGAAACTGAGAATACATGTGTAGCCTGCATTTTAAAATAGTAATATGAAGGAAAGTGTTGAATGTTATTTTGGAAACGTGAAAGGAAGTTGCTGAAAACATGCATAACTCCGCTGTATGAGTGATCAGGAACTAGCAATGAGTGATGACAGAATCACATGTATCGTTAGCTACATTTACATGCTCACATTCACCAATGTCTACACACATACATGTCGTACAGTCTTAAGGCTTTTGAAAAACTATTTTAAAGGGATACTGACGTGTCACAAAGTGTATTGTTGATGCGCTCTAGACATTTTTTTTTTGCTACAACAAAGAAAGGGATTTTTTTTTAATTGAATTTGTAGAGGTAAATGAATTCAATTTTCATGTACACTGTAGATTTGCTGAATGGCAAACGATGACCAAAGAGCCAGCAACAGTATTCATATCAACAATACTGATATCCCTTAAAGTCATTTTAAAAGCAGTTGAAGATGAATGTATCAAATAAGCATCTTTAAATATAAATTATATTTACACATAACACAATGTTATAAGAATCATTTTGTCACTTTTTTCTATCTAAAATGCAAGGTTTCCACTTGAGCAGTTATTGTATTTTTCCTTGAGCATAATTCCCTTCCTTTTCTTTTTCCTTTTTAGTCTAATTGTCTATCAATTAATAGATATGAATCTGAAACAATGGGCAGGATGTACCATAGAATAATCACTCATGAAAACCTTTTTCATCAGCAGACAATGTGAATATTCACTCATGTGATTAATTAATTACAAAGCTCATTCTTTTTACTCACATTAAAACAATCTATAACAATAAAAAGTGGATTGCCAATGACTATTTTCAGCCCAGCAGTTGAAAGCAGTTTTAACTATTTTCTATTTAGTACTTATATTTTGGATATGTAAGCAAGAATTTCAGATCAGGCAGAAAAAAAGATACAAAAAGGGCACAATTTGGTTTCAAAATAGCACAAATTGTCTGATGAGATTCAAGAGCGAAAAGAGCATTAACTCTTTGTTAAAAGATATGAGTTAATGCCCTCTGCCTCTAGGCTTTTAGCAGACAAATTGTTCCACTTCTCTACATTTTGGATATCCATGGGATGAAATATACTCAAGCTTTTTCCTTTTTCCTCTTCAAATGAGTGTTTAAAAATACATGTAATTGGAAATAAAATACCCGGATATGACTGATTTAAGGAAAATTTTGATATTGAGATTTAAACACATAAAAAGAAAAAGTTTGATATTGTATGAATACCTGTCAAGGTGAAAGGATCTTTTCTATTTGGGTCACATTGCGATCATTGTCATTAGGCATTCTAAAGAATGTTACTTGCTTGACATGAGACACCCAAGGGGTTACATCCAAACCCAAACGTGCCACGGCAGTGACGCAAGAACCGCCCGGACGCGTCACAGATCATCGAAGATTCTATTTCACCCTCCATCATGTGGGATAATAAAAGAGTGAATCTGGTGCCCCTTTGTCTGCTCACTATGATATAGTTTGGAGGGGAAAGCCTCAAGGTTTCCATCCACTCTAAGAAAGCGTGACATACTTTTTCTTGTTCAAGATGCATAGTCATGGATGTTGCAGAAACTAGCTATACATGGATGACATTCTATTCAACATCTTCAAGATCACAAGACTGGTTTTAGATGCTGCTTGTTAAGACTGGTTTTGTAATGGATGTAATTGGCATGTTATACACTTTTGGTTGTATAATATATTGGTTGAATCCTACAAAGAACATCCATACCCTGTTTGTATAAGTGTTAAATATGATTTTGATTATGTTATAAACACATTTCCCATAGACACCTTTTATAATTTCAGGTAATGTACTGTAGTGTTCAGTTAGCATTAGGATCCTCTCTTAAATCAAGAGATGAATACACAACATGTATTAAATTCCCTCTGGTTTAAAAAAATAGTTCATAAACATGCACAATATGGATAATGATTGATTGGATTTTAAAGTATGTAATTGACTAACCAATTAATTGTTAGATGCTGCTTATAAGTATCGGCTTTCATAGTGATGTATACAGTAGGCTTAATTAATTGTTTGATTGCTAATTTGATTGATTGGCTGATCATTGATTTATTAGCTGCTTGAATAATTTTTAAATCCCTTGAAACTTTTAGAAGAATTTACCTTTAAATAAATGTGATTAAGAAATATGTCAATTAAAATGGTATGAGCTTCTTTTTAAATTGTATGTAAAGTTTGTGTTTCTTGCAAAACCAAAGGCTGGGCAGAAATTTGTCTTATTTCTTACACTTCAGGTGCACATCCCACATCAATCTGTGTACGGTTACTTTCGAACCTAAATTTTAATAGCAAAATATAAAGCGCTTTCTTAGTTTCTTTGCCCATCATGGCAGACAGGTACATGTATCTGATTTTTTTTTAAACATCAAATTGACCTCCAGGTAAATTATAGCATTATATGGTATCAGGGATTTCAGCTTATTGTCAAACACATATCAATTATGATAGTCTTATTTGAATGACAATGACTTATTTGGAAAGTAGAAATTCTACATGTACTTCTGATTGTCATTCTTTTTAAAAAGACATTTCAGATCTATAAGAGGAATATAAATGCATAAATACAAAGTGGCTTTACAAGAGATGGCTGATACAAGACAAATTATTTTGTATTTCTCCTCTCAAATCTTGACAAATGCTCATATGATCACAATTTATATTCACAAGACTCTCAAGAGAACCATTATATTTAGATCACGAGATGCATTTATCAGAAAGATTACCCCAAAAACTTCCTTGTCAGATATGTCTCTGGAGACCGGTACTCTGTTTCATAAACTAGTTCAACTCATTTTCGGTCATAACAATCTTTTTTATATCAAATGTCCGTGTTTTACAATTTTCTTCACATATGTGGATTTGAATATTTCAAATTTACACATTTTCCTTCAATACCTGGCTGGCTTCAAATCCTTTCAATCCATTGCCCCACGCCTCCAGAACAAACTTCCTGCATTGCTGACAAATACATGTAGTACTTCAATTGACTTCTTCAAAAATTATCTGTAAACAAATATCTACAATTCTTTCTTTTTTTCCTTACACTAATGGACAACGCTTTTTATGTACATGTATCCCCTGTAAATGAATCCAATTATTATCATGAATACCTTGTAATCACACCATAAACTGTAGGTGGGGGTTGATTAAGTAAATTATAAGGATCTGACTCTGATATACAGTACCTGCATGTGGGTACCTCTTTCATATAATACAGTATCAACATATTTTGTGTAACTCACAATCAAACCAAAAGCATGTACATGAACCTGTAGGCTGTAATCTTTATAAAAAAATAAGCTATAGAGATCTATGTATGCAGGTACATATTGGCCCTAATTCACGAAAGTAGTTTATCCTAACCCACGGGCTATATACAGTACCTCCATAAGAGGAATATACATCCGCATCCTCACGTTCATAAACAGGCAATATTTATGGTTTAGTACACTTATTTTAATTTAAACCATGATTTAGACCATGAGTTAAAATTAAGCCTCTTTTGTGAATTTGACCCAATATGTCAGATTATATGACTAAATGAAATACTAGAACTACAGCATGGCTTTCTCACCCAATCATGCGTTATTATGTTACAAATTAATAGCATGACGGTAAAATAGCCCTATTATTTTTAAATTGTACGACATTACATGGCAATTTACATCCAAGATCCAGATTACATATGAATTGAGTAATGGTAAATATATCAAAACAATAAAAATGTGTTTCTTATATGTCTCCACCCTACATTCGGTATCAGAAATTGATGGAATTATTTGTGAAACAGTATCGCAATGACAACAAAAAGCCTATAATCAAAAGTCAACTGACCATGATCTGTACTAGCCTTAAAATGTAATTGGATCATCTTCCTATTGTCACCGTGTTTGAAACTCGTACCTCAAGAAGTTCTTGACATATTCTGATAACAAGAGTAATACCTCTAATTCCCAAAAATTGAAATCTATGACATTTGACCTTTGTTCTACATACCCTAAAATATAATTAGGTTGTCTTTCTATGGTGATACAACTATCAGAATGTTTGAAGCTCATATTTCTAGTTGTTCCTGAGACACTGCAATATCAAAGCTGATACCTGTAATTTCAGCCATTGACATCTAAAATGTGTGAGATGTTGCAATAATGAGGCTAATACATGAAGTGTCATAAGTTGATCTCTTTGACCTTTGACCAAGTTACTCCAAAATTTCATCAGATTGTCATCCTATGGAGATACATACATGTACATGTACCATCATCAAGTTTGAAGTTCATATCTCAATTGGTTCTTGAGATATCGCGATAACGAGAAAGCAAGACGGACGGAGGAAAACATAAAAACATAAGCCTCTGGCACCACTTTTGGTGGGCGGAAGCATAAATAAGTACTGAACTGTAGGTAATTAGGATCATTAGACATAATAGGACATATAAACAATAACAATTGGTTGCCTACTCACCCAATGCTCCTGGCTCTGTTCTATCTCTCAGCTCCCACTCCACTGGTAGCTTGCGTTTAGCTCCTAAGGACGATGAGGATGAAGATGATGATGATGGCCCAGGCAGAAGGCCTTCCATCGTTGCCATGGTAATAGATGTCTGCAGTTGGTCTGGTATCTCAATCTTCTAGCAGTGTCTTTGAAAACTTGGTACTTGATGACTGACAACTGCATAGGTCTGCAAATAAATTATGAAATGACAATTAGAGCAAGAAAATGGCTTATTGGACAAAATTGACAAAAATTTACATAACTTTATTCATTCATGAAACTCTTAATTTACAGACTGTATGAACACTACACCTGTAGTACAAATTGACATCTTCCTAATACATGTTCCAATACCATTCACAAAATTATGTCTTAGTGCACAATTTCAATTGTGAATATATACATGTATTCAAAATAATCAGTATAACAAATGCTTTCTCCTATTTTTGCTACATGTACTTGCTGCAGAGCCAAGTTAGATTATGAAGTAAGAATAAATAGAAAGATCATGCAGATTTGGCATGGGTTTTGGGGCAGCGGGAAGCATTTTGAGTATAGTGTCTGACTTCAATTCCATCCAGCTTTGTGTACGAATGAATCCCATCAATAAGGCCTAGAAAGATTTGAACTTTTATTGTCGTCAACGGAGCAGGGGAAGGAATCTTCTTTTTTAACTGAAGTGATTTCACTCTTATATATTGACTACCGTAGGCTATAATTGTACCATATTACACAAAGATTTAAAACTTGTTTTCATTACTCAATGAACCTAAAATGTGAATAACTTAATTTGCTGAATTTTCTAAAAAACATCTGGGTTATTACATTTCATGTTTTATCTATTGAGAGCCAGAAGGCTGTTAACTCTGTAAAATTATTGAGTTAAAGCTAATCTTGAGCTCTGGTATCGATGGGCATTATATGTCGACAGTATATTGCTATCATTCATTCTGGATTGTTTATCTTGCAGAAGATTGATTGTTTGAACCAGTAAAATAAAAACAAAACCTCACAAAAACTTGCTGGAAATCATCTTCAATAAAAACCACAACAAAAAGATTTATTTTCCTTTTTAAGAGAAAAAGTTCTCTCCAAGGATGTAGCGCTGAATTCATTTCATACATCACTTAACGATGGGTACAGAATGGAAGGAGAGGAACAATAGAAGCTGACGAGAAAGGTCAAACACTTTGAAGCCTAACCTGAAAACATTCACCTCTCCTCATTAGCTTTCTCCTGTACTCAGTAGGAATACTCCTTCACAATGGAAGCTTATCCAAGAATACCATGTCAATGCTTGGAAAACACACAGCTGGATAGCAACAGGGATCTATTATCAGCTCTTTATAGAGGTGTCTTGCTCAGCTCAAGTGCACAAAAGTTCAACTTAGCGATTGGTTTCTTCCAACATACATCAATGTAAGCCTGGGTCATAGTTTGTTCACACATGGTTTACAGAAAAATCTGGTACACTGAATGATTTACAATATAATGGAAAGTTTGAGGAAAAAAACAAGTCTATTTAATAATAAGACATAATCTTGATCATTGTGACAGTATTAATGCTATTCTTTCTCTGATTGAATAATTCTCTCATAGTTATATCCTGAATAATAATGTGTATTAATAAGGCTGAGAAGTATACACTGTACAAGATAAAAGCATGTAAACAATGATTATAAAATAACAACTACTTTGACTACTTTTCTCCTGACAATCGAGGGAATTGTGTTATTCTCAAAACAGAACAAACTAGTGGATTTACTCAATTAGGATTTCATGCTAATTGTGAGGAGTCAGCAGACCACCTGGTAATCTAGAGGTTACCCCGTTGACTACTGAATTCTCTCAATCCTATAGACTTTAATATATGAGCCATTCAGTTCAGTATCCAATGAGTTAACTAATAATATCATCAATAGAGATTAATCATGAAAAACAATTGCCTTGCTGGTGCCAACTTGGAAGTACTTAATAGTGCACCTGATTCTTCTGACCTCCTTCAAGTGATACTCTGTTATAAAAACCAAACTTCCTAAACTACTTATGACCAGCAACTCTTCTCTTTCTCTGCCCACATATAATTCATGCACAGATTTATCTACTGAGAGCTAGTAAAAGGGCGTTAAATCCTATTATTCCCACGCAGGTCTTAATGTACTGTGGCTATACTTACTCTGCACAGATTCATTGCAACAGACATTCACAATAAATCAGAAATCTTCATCTTAAACGTAAACCCAAAAGGCCTATAAAATATTTAGGGTGTGATTTAAATCTTTTATTACAGTTTACACCAATCTTATGGCCATCATCTTCTTTATTCTACAAATAATCCAATTCTTATATTTGTGAACAAATACTTCTGAATGACAAATCATAAATCACAAATGCAACTCTTTCAGTCAAATTCATTATTTACTTTTATCTTCTCTTTATATTTTGACTTGGTCATGGATTGAAGTTGAACTTATTTGCACCTGTATTGTAAGCAGTCAGGATGTACACTTTTCAACAGTAATTTGATTCAACTAAAAACCCATTTACAATAACAGACGAATACAAAACAAACCTGAACTCTGTGAAGAGGTGAAAGCACTTCGTTTATCCCTTGTTCGACGTGCGACAGAGTAGGCGAAATGCAAAAAAGTCACCGGCGAGAACAAAGGGCTTGCCAGAAATAGGTCATTGTTCGTAGGTCCGCCTGCCCACCGCTGCCCGTAGCTCGACCCTGCTATGCCGTGACAAAGGCTTCGTCTGCTGTTTTTGTTGACAAAAACCGAGACAGTTGTAAACTGAAAATATCTTTAAATTTATATATTCATAACTTCTTACCTGCTAAATTATGAGGAGGAAGTCACCATCTACCGATACAGTTTTCTTCTGAGTCTATATCTGCCAGCAAAGTGTTCGGGATCAATTTTGTAATAATAGTGTAGTGGTGGACCGTCTCGGAATAGCATTCGTGAATGAATGAATGGAGGAACGAACCGGAATCGAGCGATTTGCAAGCGCAGAGTGCACGGCCAAATCGCGGAGCTGAACTCGAAGCAGACTGCGTTGGGCTGCAGAAATTGTATTGTGTGTGAAACTCATGTAGCATACACAATCCAGCCGGAGTAGAGTTTGAGCCAGACACAAATAAAAAAAAAATGACCTACTGACCTAGTTCTCACGAAAACGTCGTATTCTTCGTTTACGGCCTCGTTCATTGGTCAGTTTCGGGAGTGAACATTATTTCGGAAGAGGGGATTATTTGAGTTGGTCCAATGTTTGATATGTTTGTGGGAAATTTTCTTGATAACAAATTGTTTAGGATAATTTGTTTTCAATTGAAAATTGTTATGAGCAGTTTCCGTAATTTAAAAGAAATCACATGAAATTGTGCTTCTGTCAATATTTACCTCCTATCAACTAACATCCCTTTTATTCAATGCATTACTCCAAAAACTTTTTATTACGTTACTTAATCATTATAAAAATTATTCTACTTTTCATATTTGGGGACCAAAATAATGGCTGCCGAAACCGCAAAGTTCTGTGCACTCTGCCACTGTTAATGGTCATTGACTTGAGTGCATACATGTCTCATTTTCATCCCCATATTCCGAGCAAAACAAACAATACCAAATAATAAGGGGGAACAATGATGAGGAAAGGATAGTCTATTCAAATAATGGGACAACGCCGCCCTTGTTTCCTAGCATGTCGCAAAATAACAAAACGAAAAAAGAAAAAAAAATATCTAGGGGAATTCTTGATCTAGAGTTTGAATTGATGCACTTTATGTCAACACAAAATGTAAAAAGATAGTATACCTGATTATTCTTTGATCCGCCTCTTCCCGGTCCCCCTCTCTCTATTACTCCTTTATTATGAAACTAGCCCACCATTCAATTAGCCTACCAAATATCAGTGGTTAAGTTGCAGTGTTTCGCACCCCCCCCCCCCTATGTACAATAAAATGGTGAAACGTCGGGAAAGGGGGAAAGAAAGGATGATGATGATCCACATTACTTCATTCAAAGGCGCCCGCTCCTTCAGTAGTTATGGACTACATTTTGTTTGGGAAAAAAGGGTTTTGAGGCCTGACTTAAAGCTTTCTAGCTTGTTGGTGTTGCGAAGAACAGGAGGGAGGGAGTAGAAAGAAATAAAGTGGGCAACAAGAAAAAAGAGACTCCATCACTCCCCCCCCCCTCTCTCTCTCTCTCTCTCTCTCCCTCTCCCTGTCTCTCTGTCTCTCTCTCTCTCTCCCTCTTTTAGTTTTCGTTCTTCATTTCCTCTGTTTTTAGTCATTATATCCCCCCCCCCCTCTCGCAAGATTCAAATGATTTTATTTCACACGCAAAACATAATACAATGAAATTTTTGCAATATTATTTGCAGTTTTAATATAAGTATTTTACCAAAAATATACAATGATACAAGACAAATATAATAGTAATGACAAGAGAAAAGAGGACCTAAATAGAAGCTGAGCTTGTTGAAGTATTGGTTCCTCGGAGGCTCTGTCTTTCCATCATCATCATCATCATCATCATCATTCTCCTCACATCACATTATTAGATCCAGGTTAATCGTCTCGTCTAGTATTATAACGTAGGAACAATTGTCTCTTGAGACCAAATGATCATTAACCCAATTCTCGTTTACTTCTCCTGAAACTGTTTAATGAATTTCCTCATTTAAGAGAGCAAACAAATCCAATTAAAAAGGGGACGCGTGACTGATGTAGGTTGTGGCAGCGATATAACAGCACTTCGGCGTTATTACCACGGTTTAGTTTACTTTTTTTTAATTCTTCTAGTCTGTCAAGAACAAAGGGTTTTATTACTGTGATACCCGATAAAGATCTTTAACTGGTCAAATCCTCTTCACTGTTATCATCCGTTTATTAACACTCGCTCATCGTTCAAAAGCTTGTAATTTCCATGTTTTAACCCCGATGAGAATGATGAGTGAATACATTTTCTTATAATTATTAATTTATTAATCTATTTAAATTAAAAGTGATAGTTCGCGGCCAGTGAACCGAATTGCAGATTCTTTTACAATGATAAGAACAAGATATAATGGATACATTGAAGAAAGATGAAATACAACTATGACAAAAGCAATAGCAAAATTTTGCCAAAAATACCAACAATACGAGGTTTGTAAATAATTATGACAGAGTGACAATGTTTAACAATAAATTCACCCTCTGTAAGAGAAAAATTGAAGAGATGAGCGAGAGAGAGAGAGAGAGAGAGAGATAGAGAGGGAGAGAGAGAGAGAGAGTGAGAGAGAGAGAGAGAGAGAGAGAGAGATAGATAGAGAGGGAGAGAGAGAGAGAGAGAGAGAGGAGGTGGGGGGGCAGACAAACCATTGGGCGGCAAGAGTTTTCTTGGAATAATCGTAGTATATAGTAAACACAGATTGAAATCAAACAAGAAACGACTTTGATCAAACAATATTCAAAATAAAAAGAACATTTACACCTAACCATGGTTGTTAATTTACTGCCATAAACATAACTTATTCTAGAGCATGTTTTTATTTTTTGAATGCGATTATGAAAGAATCAGTGTTTTTCTTTAAATCAAGTATCCCTTTTCTTTTCTTTTTTTTTTTTGCTACGCGAATTACAGCACTGCACTGTTGTCTTTTTTTGTGTTGGAAAAAATAGGAAGATTGTCCACGACTTTATCACAGAGGCATTACCGATAACCAATTTAAAGAGCCCATGCCTATAGTGATAACAATTTTTTTTAATCGTATTTTTCTCATTTTTCCCGATTTTATTCAAACTTTCACCGGTTTACTTCTCTAATTTGTCTGGTTTGCTATCAAGGTTGGATCTCCTTCTATTGGTTACCTCGCTGGATTCCTCGACTATTTTAGTACAGATTTGAATAATTTTGCACCCTATCAAAGGAATTTAATTATTTAAAAAACGCTTATCACAGTATTATGATTAATAAGAAATTATATTTTTGAGGGTTAAATATGAAAAGAAAATATATATCGCTAAGTCACTTTGTCCCTCACTTAAATAATAACAGTTAAAAAGAACTTGATCTCATGTAATTAAAAAAGATCAACCTAATTTCCACAGCATTGTCCGTCACATGACAACGACATAATTTATTAATGTAATACGTGATAATTTTTTTTTTTTTTTTTTTTTTGGGGGGGGGGGGGGCATGGGCGGATCCAGCCGGCGGCAAAAGGGGGGGGGGGCCCAAATCTCGAGAATTTTTTTAGCGGCGAATCAGCCAGCCGGCGAACGGCGAATAAGCGGGGTGGGGGTAGGGGGGGGGGGTAAGAGCCCTTTTTTTTCCTCCAGTTTTTGAGGGAAAATTTTTGCGTCGACTAAGGCGGCCGGTGAATAAGCGGGGAGGGGGGCAGGCCGGTAAAATCGGCCCGTGGAACCGCGCCTGGGGGGGGGGGGGGGGGTACTTAGATTTGGTTGAACGGGGGTGTGCCACTCAAGCCTATAAACCCCAACCTATTTTCAAGCGTCAGTTTAGAAGATTTTTCACAATTTTCGGGTGTTTGCCATGCAAAGACCAGAAATTTTTAGAAATTTAAAAAAAACGGACCCATTTATTGGTAGTTTTGCTTAAATTGGGACCCATGTTAAGGGATTTTTTTGTGCGGCACACCCCTCATGTCCGATGTGAGTACCCCCCCCCCCCCGATCTACCATGGCGTATGAAAAATTACCTTGAGATGCTTTATAATCTTATCACGATCCGCATTTCAGCTCAACGCAAGCATTGTTTAAAAGACTAATGGAGCAAACTCGCAAAGACTTTTGAAAAATCAACCTAGAGAATTTGCAATAGCCTATCCACAATATTATTGCACAGACATTATACACTGACGCATGATGTAATCTGAACATGATTTGTATGGGATAAACACAAATGCGATTGACTTGATTTTTCAAATGTCCTCGCGACCATTTTATGGGTACATATATACAGACAGATACATGCAAATTGATAGACAGACATATAAATAGATGGATAGATAACAATTTATATGATTTGAATACAGCGCTCAATAGCCAGTCAAACTTGGGGCGGGAAGGGGAGGCAACATAATGTCTCAAAAGTACTGATAAGGAAAAACAAAATAATACAAATGTCTTACAGGGGAGAGCCCAAGAAAAAATCTTACAGAAGTAAGAAAAGGAAGCAAGTTAACAAGCAAAGTAACATAAAAACGAACAACATAACACAAAGGTTATCAACTCTTCCCTGGGGGTAATGTTGCAAAAATAACTATCAGTGAGTCTTGGGGGGAGTTAAGAAAGGGCACCGTGAAACAATTTAATTAAACAGATTTTAAACAAATTGCCAGAAGAAAAAGACAGCTAAACTGGCCCCTATAGCGTATAGTGATACCCGATATATAGCACTAGCGCCCAAAATGTTCCCCTTTACCCTAGTTTTCATTCCTTTACTTTTTTCCATCTTTCAAAGCTATATTTATTTTTTAAATTAACTTACACATTAAAAGACTTCACACTACAGTCCCAGTCTGGCCTTTTCCTGTTTGGGAAGTGCTTTACATTAACAAGGACAAGCATATACTCCAGGTTGCATCTGAAAATCCGATCATTGTTGCTATGTCAGGAATGTCCAGTTATTTAAAACCTTTCTTTTAACTTAAAGGTCTTACTCAAAAGAGAGAATATATGATCTGTACAAATTATAGTGAAATGCCTTCCAGCTATTCATAACCATAACTGAATTGAATAGGTGACTTCGCTTTGATGCTGTGTCGGGTTGCTTATGCATTCTTAAAGATACTTTCTACTTTCAGGAATGATCATTTTAAATTAGTCGGAAATCTGATGGGAAGCAATATTGCTGGATGATACATGGTGAAAATTAAATGGAATATGTTTACATTGCTCCTGTATATTGATGATGATTAAATAGGTTACTTTTAGGTCATTTTTGCACTATAATTGATTGAATAGTTTTCTCATCATTTTGTGTGTGTTTGTCATATGTATGACATTTGGGTACGTTTTTCCTTATATTCTAAGCCTAAATCATCTACTTTTAAAAACAGATATCAAAATATTTGGTAGGCACTACCTCTTAACTCATGATGGGGCCAGGATAGCCGTCTGACTTGAACGTGCTTGCGTAACATATTATTTCAAATCCTTTTCTTTCTTTTCCTACGGTGGTATTTATTTTTACAAATCTATTTCCAAGCTTTCAAATTGTGTTGATTCTGTTTATCCCATCAAATTTTACACGATGTAAAGTATCAGTGTCATTTGATTTCTTCGTGTATTGGAATTGTTTTTGATTAAGCCAAGCATAAATTAAGCAGAGTCGGGTCAATACCTTAAAATACATTAGTGTTGCTATGTTAGGAATCTCTGGTTATCTACGGCCTTTATTGATCTGTGTCGAAAAATGGGACTCATACAAATAGCAAGCCAAATGTACCAGCTAATAAAAATGAATGAAAAAAAATTCTATTCATTGGTGGGTGATGTATTGAAATTTGCACACCCTTACCTTGTCGATCTGGAGCCCTCTGGAGGCGAAGGATTACATTCACCTGCTACAAGATAATATTAATGTTTTTCGATTGTGAGAAGTCAACTGCTGTTAGATCGGATGAACAATTGGCTTGCCCGAAATAGCAACACTTACTCGATACAATCTCCATTCCGAATGATTGCGGTGATGATTGGATTATCGCTATGCACTTTTAAAGGAAGTGATTTGCCTACATTCCGCGTTCTTCTAGGTAGGACAAGTCATGTTTGTCCTACCTAGCAACAATTAATGTTGCAATTATTTCTGACCATTGAAATAAAATTATTTGTAAATTGTGAATGAAATAATTTGTGAGATGGCACTTCACAAAGATTTATGCATTACATTTGGTTACATCACGAAATTTCAAATCTAATAATCAGCACAATGTAATTGCCACCACAAAGGGGAACGACACGTATTTTAAATCGTAGGCTCATATATATATATATATATATATATATATATATATATATATATATATATAAAACCATCTATTAGCAACTGATTATATCTTCTCTTTAGGTCACTATGATCAGGAATTTTTGTCTATTCTACCTTTTAAAAGCCTTTAAATCATCATTTAGATACAAACTGATAATGTACAACTCTTAAATATAGGCCTAATGTACTATTCTTAAATATAGTTACAGGCTTATAAATATGATGGTCCAATTATCATTGTGTTTATTCATAATTTTGTCTATTGTTAGGTTATTCCTTTACGTCTTAAAGCTAATACAAAGTTTTGGGAGATTTTGAAAATTGGGTGGATAGTGAATCTTTATAATTTTGATATATTTGGATGCCCCTGTGGATGTATTATAAGCACTAAAAAAAATAGCCCCTAAAACACTTCTGTTTTTGTGAAAAATTGAATATAAAAATTTACCGGTGCTCCCGGTAAATTTTGATAAATTTCAAATAGCGCCTACCCAGGACCAAAATCCAATTGAAACCAGTTGAAATCTCCAACTGGTTTCAATTGGTTTCAACTGGTTTCAATTGGTTTCAATTGGAATAGAAAATTTCCAGTTGAAACCAATTGCCGAACTGGAAAATATTGTTATGGGTACTCATTTCCAGTTCAAACCAATAAGAAGTGCAACTGGAACCAGTAAGGTAATTTTTCCAGTTACTAAATTGGTTCCAGTTGAAGTCATTTCCAGTTACCCAACTGGTTCCAGTTAGAAGTTCAACTGGAAACAGTAAGATGATTTTCCTGTTACTCAATTGGTTCCAGTTATAATTAATTTCCAGTTACCCAACTGGTTCTAATTAGCATTCATTTCCAGTTAGAAGTCATTTCCAGTTACCCAACTGGTTCCAGTTAGAATTCATTTCCAATTACCCAATTGGTTCCAGTTAGCTCATTTCCAGTTACCCAACTGGTTCCAGTTAGCATTCATTTCCAGTTACCCAACTGGTTCCAGTTAGAATTCATTTCCAGTTACCCAACTGGTTCCAGTTAGCATTCATTTCCAGTTAGAAGTCATTTCCAGTTACCCAACTGGTTCCAATTAGAAGTCATTTCCAGTTACCCAACTGGTTCCAGTTAGAATTCATTTCCAGTTACCCAACTGGTTCCAGTTAGCATTTATTTCCAGTTAGAAGTCATTTCCAGTTACCCAACTGGTTCCAGTTAGAATTCATTTCCAGTTACCCAATTGGTTCCAGTTAGCATTCATTTCCAGTAAGAAGTAATTTCCAGTTACCCAATTGGTTCCAATTGGAAATATTTCCAGTTACCCAACTGGATCCAATTGAAACCAGTTAATTTGCATATTATATGCTTGTGTGCAAATCAATGTTTTATGTAATTTATTTTGATTTACAATGTACTTATTAATTAATTTTCATTTGCAAGTAATGCATTTGTTTTTAGATAAATATAAAGATTAATTAGCAATGATAAGCATGTTCATTAGTAACATATTTTTGTAATTACACAGATTAAAAGTTGATTAGTAAAACACTAACCATGTACAAAATACATCAAATACAAACATATATAATGGCAATGCCTTCCTTGTTAAGTATATTATATGGTCTGCATATTATAATGCCCTTTACATTGTACTTAATGTAGACACATATAGCAATGTTTCTGTGTTGACATGAGCGATAATTAGTGCAAGAGCTAATTAACTTATAACTAATTAAGTTTATGCCAACTGTAAGTTTCAATTGGATCCAATTGAAACCAATTGAAACCAGTTGAAACCAGTTGAAGCCAACTGGTTTCAATAGGGAAATTGGAACAACTGGTTCCAGTTGAAACCAATTAGGCAACTGGAACCAGTTGGCAATTGGTTTCAACTGGTTTCAATTGGAACCAGTTGGCAATTGGTTTCAACTGGTTTCAATTGGAACCAGTTGGCAACTGGTTTCAATTGGAACCAGTTGTTCCAATTTCCCTATTGAAACCAGTTGGCAACTGGTTTCAATTGGTTTTGCTCCAATTGGTTTCAACTGGATTTTGGTCCTGGGTATGGCCGTACAATGAAAATCTCAGAATATGTAGTTGGGATATATAATTTCCAAACAGGAATAGCTAATCGGTCGATTTTAGTCAAGAAACATTGTTTCATAGTTAAATTAATATCTTGACCTTTAGAGGGAGCTATACAACATAAAGAGTTTATTATTTATAATTTCATAACTCAGTTAGACTCGATTTCAACCGCGACAACGATCAATGTATATTGTAGGAACGTATATGCTTCCAATATGTTAATTTGAACCGAATTCATGACCCCATACCAAAACTTTGTAATACCTTTAATTTAACCATTCAAATTTGTCTAGCGTCGATTGAGGTGGTAGGGGGAGGGTATGGAGGAAACGTAGACGTCACCTGCGTTAAAAGTCTCTCCTTTTTGCAGCGACTGTGATATGATTAAAGTACTACCTAGTATTAACGCCCTCTATAGATCTAAGCAGAATAATGTTTCTCATATTTACCGGCAAATTCAAGAGGAGTTACCAAAGTCAAACGTAAGTTAAAGACACTCTTTCATTTTCAAAGTGGTACATTTATAACTCCTTGTAGTTGGTAGAATCCATGAATATTTTCAGACGTTGTTTTTATTTAAAAAGATTCAGATGATGGACATCAAAAACTAATTTGAAATTTTGAAATCTGTGTCACCTTATCCCACATACTTAGACCTATGTTGATGTTTGTAGAGAATGTCAATCTCAATGCCGCAATGCAATGCAATGCCGTCTTTATGGTTTGTTTAAAGTTGTTTTATAACAATATCGATATTTAATTGTGACGGTACTTGTATGATTTTTCTTATTATTATAACTTTATCGTATTGATTTGTTGATTTCAAACCATTTTTTAAATTTAATGCAGTGAATGTATCAACTTCCTTTTCCTAATCAGTATTGAGTGATTTCAAGTACGGTGTTCGAGGTTGGTGTCAGTGTTGAGAGCGTGGAAAGGCTGCTGAACCGAGCTCCAACACCAACAGTCAGTTTAGATGGACGATACCAATCAAGCGTGCGCATTATCGATAGCTCAACACCAGCCTCATCCTGAGTGACGTCCTACTTTACACATGAAAAGTCTTGCGATTAAAGCATAATCCATTCAGAAAATCCAATAAATTACATCGTATCAAATATAAAATATAAAGTAATATTAGAAGATTAATAGATAAAATGATTTACAGCTGTTTTGACTGTACAGTGGATTTTACCTTGGCATGATCGTGAGATTCGTGCCAGATGTCCGCATAGTTACCTGTGGTATACTGCAACACCAACACCAACACCAAACTTGAAATTATGAATTTCCCAATCCCTAGGGCTGGTGCTGGTGTGAGTCAATGGGAAAATTACACGTAAATCGTCAACACCAACCACGATACTTGGTTCAGCAGATGACATTCAACACCAGCCCTCAACACAGACTAGCGGAAATACGTCATATTTCCTGAGGTCAATCCCAACACTAGCCTGATTTCAAATTCGGTGTTGTAGCCGGTTTTCAACACCAGCTTTCAACACCGAACTTGAAATCACTCAGTATTGTGAGCCCCCAGTGGTCAATACACGTTTCAACTACTTACTTGTGTGATTCTGACCTAGATCTAGGTTCAGCATTCATTTTCATTTTGGAAAAGGAATTCTGAAAAAAAAACTTCTTGATCGATGAAAATACAATTCCATTGCAATATGCAAGCGCATAGAGAATTTATTATTATGCGCGATATAAAAATGACTTTAGTATTAATATTCAATTATGTTACTTCTCCATATTGTAGGTTTAATATGCAAATGAAACAGCTAAATGCAACAAAATGCAGTGCAGAGAAAAACAGGTAGGTTTCATTAACTATATATTTTATGCTAAAATGTGCAGCAGTAGAGTGAATATTTAGCTAATAATTAACTAAGTATGATGTGTGATAGAGAATTTCCTAGTAAATGTGCATGCACTAACAATAAATGATTTAATGATGTCTGTTTGACACTTTTTGTCATTGAAATGCTAATTGATAATATTCATTTACTGGTATCTTTAAGTTTAATCAAGTTAAGCATTTTTTGTTGTTGTAGGTTTACATCCTTGAGACCAGTAAGCCCATCATCCATCCGCTCAGGCTATTCTCTTTACTCCACGGATACCGATGATCAAGTGATGAGTACTCATAGAGGTCTAGATAGGTGTGCTGCTTTACTGGCTAACATGATGGAGAGTGAGGGAATAGGTACATTGGGAGGAGAGCTCGAGAGGGGCATGATTAGCTCTTGAATTACCAGGCATAACCATAAGACTGCTGCTGCTTTTTATGATGTGCTGTTGGTTTGGTTATTAAACTCATTCATCTCTTTACAACCAGGTCATAAATGATTTGGGAAATATTTCTAAAATGTTCAATTGAATTTTGTATGCAGATGACACCAGCTTGTGCATGTCTCACCAAAATATTGATGCTTTACAAAATGTTTTTATTAATGAACTGAAATATGTATCTGACTGGCTAATTGTCAATAAATTAAATATAAATGTTAGAAAATCAAATGTTATGGTTTTTACGAAGAAAAATAAAGCCTCTTTCAAAATTGATGTCTATTTAAATGAGATGCCCGTCATTGAAGTTAAACTTGCTACCTTTCTAGGTGTCACTGTTGACAGTAGGTTAACATGGAATGAACATGCTGGTGCCGTCTGCAATAAGATTGCCTAAAACATTGGAATTATATATAAAATTCATATGTTGCCTAAGAGAATTCTTCTAATATTGTATAATATTCTGATTTTACCTTACTTAAATTATTGTAATATAGCCTTGGGTCATACTTTCCAAATACATATTGATATTTTATGTCAGTCTATCTATCCTTTGACCTCCCAGAAAATGTCCCTACGAAACTGGAGAGAGGTGTTAGGAGCAAGCTAGGGGGCATGTCCCATACAAACCAGCAGAATAAACAGACCACCAAGCAGAAAGTTCCTGTTACAAAGACGAGAGTAAAGACAACGTCAATACAGAAGAAACCTGTTCGGTCTGGTAAGAATGATAATAGACTACAGAGAAATTGTATTTGGAAGTACTACTTAAATATTGTAAACCAAGTTCATGCAGATATAAGCACAATAATAATCATTTTGTATTTGTATGTAAAACAAGGATTATTATCATGAGCATAACTTGCACAATATCTGACAGAAGCTGAAAAAGTGAATATAATCACGGTTGCCCTGAGGTGATTGGCTCCCTTATATATGATGGAAATAGACAGGTGAAAATTATGAAATTATTATAATGACACAGTGTGTAAGACATTTCCCATAAAACCAATAAATTTGACCCATTCTTATTGTGTATTTTGTAAACCGTGTACCACTATTGTTTACATGCTAATTAGTAAGTTGGACGTCTGTTTACATTTGTTGACTTTATTTTTATTTCATTTTAATTTCACTTATTTTTTGTTGTGCAGGCTCTTTAAAAGAAAAGAAGCAGACAGGAAGAAGGTCTTTCAATCAGAAATTAGTCTCGTCAACGCCAAACCAAAAACATACAAAGCTCAACAAAGCAGAACAAAAGAAGCAAGGCAGTGATAGGATGCATTCTAAGGATACACACAGAGACAGAACGGATGTTTATACAGAGAAAGAGGTAACAGACAAAGCTCATCCAAGAATTCCTGCAAGGGTTTCTCCAGGAAACAAGGAGAACTTTCCTTTATCAAAGCAACCATCGCAGAGAGGGAATGGCCCAAAACAATTCATTGAAACATACGATGTAACACCACAGGTACTGAATGATAATGTTATCACTAAGACAAGAGTAAGGACAGAAGTCGTCAAGAACCCAGCTATAAGACATGAGGTAGCCAGAGTGAATGAGAAGCCACAGCGTAATGCAGCATCCTCAAGGCAAGGTAGTACTGTTCAAAGTCGATTGAATGAAGAACAGACCTATGTAGAAAGGGACTATGTCATGTTACAGCCTCAGCATGTAGGAATCACTAGACAGGAACAGCAGTGGACTGAGTTGCCTCAAGAGGTTAATGGACAGACTGGACACATTACTGGTACTGTGAATTACACAGACCCTAACACTCAACCATGGGTTAGTCGTATAGATATGGACCCTGTGAGAATCACTCCTGATCATCTACGTAGTGCAGGAACACAAAACATTCATCACCTGCAACAACATGACCATGACCACTATAAGCAGCATCAAGATCAGCTGGACCCTCATGCTCCTCATCCTCAGGGTCATGCAGTAGAGAGTCAGTTGGCTGCAGCTACATGGAAAAACTCAAGAACAGCTCCAGGTTTACAATCATCAAGGAATCTTGACTCACATCTGGAGAGTGGTGTGAGACAGGGTCTAGTCAGTGATGGCATGGGACCAGTGCAGACAACTCAATCCATCTTGAGAGACTTGGTGGGCAAACTCCAAAAGATGAATGAAAGTCAGATACAAACTCCACAAACTCAGCTCTCGCACCCCTCTCCTGGTAGTGGAGTGACCCAGAACAATATCAGTCATACACATCAACAGATGGGACATGGATCAAAGAATGTCAGCAGGAGGGGTGTGGATCATAATGTAAGAGAACAAGATGAGAGAATGCAAGATATGTTATCATTGGATAGAAACTTTGCCAAGCACAGTACAGTCCATCATGCATCCAGATCCGGGAGCCATGGGATTAGCCTAAGAGCCAGGGCTGTAGGAACACACAATGCAGATCCTCAAAGTAGAGCTGAGCAGCTAGAGCCAGTCAGGGATTCTGGTCGGTCATGTGATCATAAATCTACCAATCAAAGTCCAGGATCTCTTGTGACACAGATGCAAAGAGTTTCTCATGAGGTTGCTAAAGATCCCATAGATGCCGTGATAGATACAGGTAAGAGATGCACCTTGAGGGAACCTGGGGTGTTTCACAGAACTTGTCATCAGTGAAAAACGACAGTTTTTGTTATAAGCTACTGAAATCCTTGTTTCTGATTGGTTATCAGCAGATTTGTCACTGATTTTAGTCATTTTTCATTGAAAAAGGCTTTGTGAAACGGTTCCCTGGTACACTTACTTGTATTCACTAGCATCACAGTGTTTTGCTTCCTCCAGGCAACCTGTCATTATTCGTTATTTGTCTCTATGTCAACTCCCACCAGTTAGAAAAAAAGGAGATTGTGAGATGCAGTTACCATTTTATGTGACAACTTGTAATACTTCCTTCCCACAAGTTTGCCAATTTATCTGAAGTTGATATGTTATATTTCCTCACACTCGATCAGTGCATACTAAAAAGCAAACACAAGCATTACATTCCATTACATTACATTAGCAATATGGTCATATGGTCTTATTGACCAAGCTCAGATCATATTGCCCCCGAGTCGACAGACGAGGGCAATATGGTCTTAGCGCGGTCAATATTTCAGATATACCCCTCAACGCCAGTCAATATTATATATTATTACCCGTATCAGACATCTGAGCTGGTCATTTACAAAACCGTATTGCCCTAGTTTTCACTAGCAGTGGGAACGGAGAGGTATATTCTTTGTATTTTCCTTGGTCTCCCTTCGCGTATTGACTTTGCGTGTAGAGACGAGTGAAAATATACCTTGGTATTTTCCACGGTCTCGCATCCGGGCATCTCGTATTGACCGCGCCGTATTTTGTCATTTTCATTGCGCATCTATTATGCGTACGAGAACCTACGCACTTTGCGCGCACTCTATTGTGACGTAATAATCACACCAAATGCACACTGTTTGCAGTGTATCGAAAATTTTGTCAAGCACTGGATGCACAGTGCTGGTTTGAAAAAGTTTGTTCAGTTCTTGAGATTGTCATGGTGGATTTCTGTATTTGCTCTAGATGTCTGATTTGGATAACAATAAAAATATTGACTGGCTTTACTTTCGGGGGATATCAGAAATATTGACCGCGCTAAGACCATATTGCCCTCGTCTTTCGACTCGGGGCAATATGATCTGAGCTTGGTCAATATATCTGATATACCCCTCAAGGCCAGTCAATATTATATAAATAATACATTATTTGCCTCTCTTTGACATTGAAACTTCTTCATTCCAAGGTACTCCCAAACCACATACATCTCCTAAAGGTCATCAGGTCAAAGATGATGTTGGTGTTCAGACCCCGCCCTTCAGCTCCCGCCCTCCGGTTGTCATGACTGGTACCAAAGGTAGCAATGCATTATGGGATCAGGTACGGACTTTGAAGTATATTACTAAGGAGCTCCATTCGGCCAACATGAAAATTGGTGAGATGCTGGCTTTCAACCTAATAATCCACTTGCTTATATTTTTTATATTTTCACTTTTCTTTTTGTCTTGTTTCTTCAACTGTTTTCTCTCCCTTCTCTATGTATCTCTGTTCATGCACAGGGTTCATAAAAAAGAATTCTCGTCCTCTTTTTTTGGTCATTTTTATTACTGATTGTGCTTCTTTTTTCACTTTTCATTTTCTTTTTTCCCCTATGTACAATCTATTGTAAAGTAGTTAATAATTTGGTTTACAGTAAACATTCATTTATGACTTGGGATTATATTCTCCTTAGCTGACAGATGCTCCATGTAGACCTAAATATTTAATATTATATCTGGTGCATTGCTGGTATATTCAGTTTATAGACTTTGTGGCAGATTAGCCTGATGCTAAACAAGTTATCCAATAAAGTCTACTACTACTACTACTAGTACTACTTGACTTGTAATGGTACTTGAAAAGTTTAATTAAATGTGGACCTAGATATAAAACAAAAAATTGAAGAAAAAAAAAATCAGACACATGTCAGCACATTCATTCTTTATGTTAAACTGAACTACCTTGTTATATGACCCCATTGTATTGACCTCATTTCTGTAGGTGACGTGCAAACTCAAGAGCTTTTGACGGAGCTAGAGGAAGTAGTTGAGACATTACCATTCACCAGCCTGGATAGAGATCTACAAACAGAGATCAGTCTGGCTCTTCAACCAATCAGAAGTGAGAATAGTCAGCTTAGGAGAAGGCTAAGAATAGCCAATCAGCAACTCAGGCAGATCCAACTTCAAGCACAGGCAAAGGAAAACAGCCAATCAGGTGTCAGTTTAGAAGGTTGGCAATGCTTTCTTTGTTACATTACTAGTATATCTTAATCTGTTACAATAATGATATCTTATTAAATAGGACCAAAACAGATAATGCAAAATTTTCATGGTCACCAATACCTTGTGATGACCAATTCTTTGAATATAAGAAAAAATTCTTACCGGTACCTTGTTAATTGCCTCCAAATGAGAAATTTAGCCTAATAAAAAATAAATAAAGACGCACCGACTAACTGAATTTATGAGACATTTTAGAGCGAGTGCCATGAGCACCCAGCAGAGGAGATTGTCCACATTATACTAGAATCTATTATCATATGTGGATCCCTGTGATAAGCATATTAAAGTCTATTATTAACTTTGTATTTTGTTTCATTGACAGTATTGACTCTGCAGTCTTTGAATGTAAACCTACAGAAGCAAGTAGAAGAACTCCAAAGTGAGACAGACAGACAAACACGAGATATGACTGAGTTAAGAGCTTCTCTAGATGCACTCAATGTTGATAAACACAACATGCAAGACATCTTCATGAAAATGGTAAGGTATGACAAAAAAAATTGTTATCCCTGCAGTCATTTCATGATAAGTTTGATTTGACAATACAGACGAGTGCAATATCCTCTACATACATTTAAAATACTGAGATTGTGTGTTTGTATTTGTTTTATTTATCATAAAACATCAAACCATTGGAATTTGTTGTTAATGGTTGGGTCTGTACATTAGTATGGTTTTATTCAAAACTGCCTTCAAATTGCCAAGAGAGGGCAGTATGATAGTCTTAGGAGAGGAGTGCATCAATGTTAGCACCATTTGAGTTAGGATTCCATTCAGCCTGACAACTGCAATGAAATATTGTGTGGTTTAATATGTTGGTACCAATTTCTAAAGCAGAGACAAAATATAGATATTATAAAATGTTTCTTGCTGGTCCAAAGTAATTTTCATGGTTAATAAGTGAACATGATTAATACAGTCATCTTAATATAACAGAGAAAAGGAAAAAAAGAGACTACCATATGTAAAAGTAATTGAATTAATATTTATTTACTAGGACAATGATCTAAAGGAAAAAAGGAAAAGCTGGACTCTGGAGACAAGCACACTACGTCAAGAGATGACTAAGCTGAAATCTCAACTTGAATCTGAGGGTCTTAGAACTGAGTCCATTGAAAAAGAGAAAGAGATTTTAATATTGAGTGTCAAGCAGAGAGACTCAGAGATCAAACGATTACAACAGATGACAAGGTAAGGAATGGTTTAAGAGAGGTTTGCAGTTACACCACATATTCTTTCGACAGGGTTAGTTAAAGAATGGTTAGACAATGGGTTGTCTTTGTGCACAGTTTCTCATTCATGGGGTTTATCTTCAATCCATTATATATGGGAAACAGATGACCTCTGAGTTAAGCCTCTGGAACTAAGAGGATTCAGTAGTTGACATGTTAAGTACATTTGGCACAAGTTAAAGCTTTGGAGTCATGCGTTAAGCTAAACGCTCAAAAAGTAGATTTCTGCATTTTTGGATTCTCTTTTGAGATGAGAATACAGTACCTATTCTGTTTTATACAGAAATCCTGGACTTGAAAAATCACAGTAGATCACAAATTTGGTGCTGCTTTTTTAAAGATGTAAATCACACTTTTCTTGTGTATGGAGTCCACAAGGTCTAACTATTTTCTTCCCAGTGTCATTTGTTCTTGGCTTTCCTCCCAATGTACTTTCTGCTCCCTTACCTTCCTGCATGTCTTGTAAGACACAACTGTCGATGCAGGGATTACATTGACTATCATCTCCTATGACTCCTGATTATTACCCTGGCTTTAGCACGGCTGCCATTGCGGTGCTCTAGCATTTCAATTATTAACTCCTGTCAGGTACCCATTTACATCACCTGGGTTGAGTGTGGCAAATGTAGATCAATGTCACGCCGAAGGACATTAGTGCCGTGGCGGGAACCGAACCTCAAACCTTGTTATCCACAGTCCGTTGACCCATCCACTCAACCACAACACCTCTAAATGAGTGATGTGTGGGGATGAAAAAGTAGTTGCGCACAATGAAGGTCCTATTTATCCATGTGCTACAACGTTAGATACCCTTAGAAAAACACAGTGGCAAACCACCATGGTTAAAGAGAAGGTTGATTTCTGGGAAGAGGTGAAAAATAATAATTATGTGAGCGTTATCATTGTTATTATGCAAGTGTGGAAGAACATCAGATAACACAATGATCCCTGAAAAGCATGGCTCTTCAAATGCCTTAATATTCTAAATATGGCATGTATTAAACAGCATAAAAATTGGGACGGATTTTTATGCCACATGTTCGTGTAGGCCAATATACACATTTCTGTGTACAGCGCGTGTAACTTTACTAAGACTGGACCAAATTTCTTATCATTTTGATGACTCCAGAACCTTGCAGTACACACCAGTACCCAAATGCTTGATGATCAACCTTTTCTGATCAATTCCACAATGTTTCTTTCACAATGCAATCGCATGACCAGAACTCAACTTAATCTTTAAGTATGGCATATAGATGTGAATAAACCCTTATGTCTTGTTTTTGTTTCTCTCAGGAATATGCAGGGAATCTTATTGAGTGTAGTTCCAGAGAAATCTTTGAAATCTTCCCTTCCTGGTGAAAGCAAGGAATCTAGACTTGAGAATTGGTTAGAGAATCATCAATCGGCCATCAGTACACCAAGGAGCATAAATAGGTATGTCCTATAGATACGATTGACTCTAACACTACAAAAGACATTGAAATATTTCCAATGCACATTTTAATTTCATGCAGTAGAGATAATCTTGAACTCCTATTTAAGTCCAAATGTGATTTGTGTAGAAAACATTCCCATATATACTCATAAATACTCATAAATACACATAATTTCTATTAAATATCATCAGAAAAATCACCAAAACATAAAAGTACATGTAATTCTACATCATCTTCATTTATATTCCCCATGGTCATTATATGTTACATATTTATTTATTCAATTTCCATTTTCTATCCCTTTCTCATTTTTCATCCTATACTAAACAGTACCTTACAGTCAATAATATAACTGTTGGTTATCATTCTGATCATATTCCTTCTGTCAAGAGTTTGTTTTTCTACCTACCTCTTCTATTATTCACTAGGAACTCAGAAGCTACCTAGTCCATTCATTCTATCATAACCTCCATCCGTTGATGACTGTAATCCAACTCTGTATTGTGTTATTTATCCGCAAATGAAAATGCATATTTACCTTGGGATTATACAGAGTAGTTTCAGTTATGATAAATTCAAGGTTTGTTGTACCTCGCATTTAACAAACATGTTACAAAAATAAAGTGCATTATTTGGTACTTTTGTTTTATATTATAACATTTTAAAAAGAGGCATGTACATGTATTTCTTGAAATGCCAGAATTTGAAGGCACTATTTCATATTTCTAATGATATCCTGCGATCTACTGTAAACTGTTAAATTAGATATAATGGGAAAGCTGTTTAATTTGAATCTATAGCATAACATGTATTAGTATGCATAAACTTCATGTTGTATTTCTTGCAAAGACTTTTGTTGAAGGAGAAAAAAAGGTTATGGAATGTATTACATTTCAAAGGTCGAGGGAAGCATTAATTATTAACCATCACACATTTTTGTTACTGGTAACCTAAATTAACTCTGGTGTTCTTAGATTTATAATAGAAGTATGAAGTGTCTTTATATAACCTATTATGAAACCCAGTATCAAACAAGGAAATAAAACACTGTATACATGGGTTCTACGTGTATATACCTACCAGCCAAAATCCTATTTGACAGAGTGTGTGTTATTGTGTATTTTCTGAAAGGAAGCCTGAAGTCAAGAATCTCACACTTATTATGCTGGTAGTATCACACAACAATGGAGTACTAGCTAGTCACATGGTCACTCTTGACAAATTAGGTGTATTTTATGATTTAGAGTGAAATGTATAAGTACCTATTATGTAGTACTGTTGTCTAAGTATTTTCATATATTCTCTCTTGAGTTCATTTGAGAATGGACAGTTGAGTCATTAAGTGATTTGCTGTAACAGTGTGTGCTCTACTATACGGTAGAGTGTAATAGTCAAGTGGTTGGAATACTAGTAGGATAGGGGTTCAAGCCTCAACAATCACATATCACCTTACAGGTCAGGTCAAGATGTCAAATGTAAATTACACTAAAACTAAACGTGATGAATAGTTCCTTATCTTGTTCCACACTAATGAAAAGAGAGGTGTGTAAAAGATTCTCAAACACAGTTCACATTTTGTATGGATTTTTGAGAGATTAATGCTAGTCTGAATTGTGCAGCAACCATTGTTGCATCTTGCCAAGCCTAGCATCACAATCAAATTGCCACTCGTTCCTTCGATAGGACAAATATCAAACCTACCAAACACACTTGAATGTGAATGCGAAACTTGGACCAAATTTTCTGAAATCACATATGTAATATATACTGTCTTTAGACTAACTTTAAGCCCAACATGTTTCAAATGGGAACTTCTTTAAAGACCGTCAATACTACTGGGCCAGAAGGGATTAGACCACACAGCGAGGTCACTGACAGGTGGCTATCTCATTAAATCAGCTCTCAACTAACATAAGAAAAAGAGGATCATGGGGGACCAACAGGCACCGATTGGGGAAGTTTTCTATATAGAGGGAGCAAGTAGCTACAAGTAGGACAGTGGGGCTTTAATATGAAACAAAAAATTAAAATAAAACTTGTCACCACATTTTTTTCCCATACAAGAACCGTCTCTTAATGGATTTCATTTTATATTTGTTGTCTCTCTCTACGCATTTGGTGAATTGTGTTTCTGGCAGGGTTTTTATTGTAGCTTAGGAGTGGGCCTGTAGAATAGGGACTGATTGGAATGCTATAGTTGTTTGTCTTTTCTGTAATTTACAAGCAGTACACCCCCTAATAATACCAGTAGTTTTTGTATTCAGCTTCAACACCATTGAGCAAAGACAAAGTAATATGAGAGTGAAAGGAAATCCAGTAATGCGTGGTCATATAAACAGCTCATTTGAGTGTCCATTAATCTGTATATAATGATTCATGTTAGTTTAATAGATCAGCAAGATATCGTAAAACAACATCTGAGGAACTAACGCTTCAACAAGCTCTGCTTCAAGTTAGTTCCTCTTTTCTCGTGCTTTTTTTGCTCCATTAAATTTGTTTTGCATGAGAAATAAAATCATTTGAATCATATATGGGGAGGGGGAATACTTCCACAAGATACTAGTCTCAGTTGCCTTTAGGCTTCATCTGTCGAGATATCCAACATCAAAGTAATCATTTGTCTTTTTTTAAAACTTTAATTAAAAAAATTGGCAGTAGTTTGCCTTTGAAAGTGAGACTAATAATAAGGTTTTGAGTACGTACTTAATAAAAATTAATCACTTTGCATTGTACTAGCAATGTCATGTTAATTGCAGTTATACAATGACTGTAGATTCTTTCACATTATGACAATAGTACTGGTTGTTATTTTACAGCATTCATGTACAGTGTATGCTACTGCAATATTAATTAAAAGATGATCATGAATGTATGACAGTAAAGGTGTTTTTTATTGCTCTGTTAGTATTGTTCATTGTAATACATATTATATGTATAGTTTGCTTCCTTTTTTTCATCTATTTTACTTTTGATTCTAGTACCGGTATGCTTTCTTCTCTTCTAACTTTTCTCTTCTTCAAATTTAGGAATGATACGACGGACACTCTCCATCAAACAGCATGGAGACAAGGTCAAAGGTCACCCCATGACTCCATATCATCCTCATCCTCATCATCTAGAGGAGGTCATTATATCAAGCTCTCTTCTCCTGATGCGTTACACAGAGATGATTGGAGGAAGATAGTTTCTGATCAACGAGGCTGTCTGGACGATCATCATGTTATTAGTGGAGGAGGGGAAAGACATAAATCATCTCAAATAGAAGCTACATTTGGTGCTGATGGACGATGTGAAGATTTGGACTCCACCCTTGTCGAAGATACTTTAGATGGTGATGGGACTGCGTATATGAGCTTTGCTGATCCTCAACTTGGCAGCAGAAAGCCATGGATATTTCAGGCATCTCATAGACCTTTACCTGGCGGTGGCACGCCTAGCTGGGTAGAAAAAGAATTATCACCAGCTACAAAGTCAGGAAGAAAGCACACTGGCTGTGACAAGACTGGTCCTGTTTCTGATAGCCTAGGTAGGACAGGGAATGAGAATGATAGGAGATCACCACCACCATATAAAGGGAGAATTGATTCAAGGTTGAGAAAGAGTGAAGAAGAAGCTAGAGACTCAGAGAGAGACCTTGGTAGAATATTCAATGCAGCAGAAGTAGGTTCAGTTGTATCAGAATCTACAATATCATCAATAGCATCACAGTATGAGGCTCAGTTTCAAGTGGGTTTATCAAAGCTTGATGATGATATTGCTAGATTACAGCAGAACTTAAAGGGATTAGTTCAAAGATAATACATCTTTAGAAATTGCAAATGCTATTTTCTTTTTTGAATTATTACAACATTGTGTTTCTTATCTACCATAGACTTGTAGAAATATGGTATACAGTTAAATACCAAATACTAGTTTTATGTGAATCAATCCTGTTTTCCTTTTTTAAAATTTATATTTAAACTAAAGATATGAGTTGAAATGAGACTGTATGTCTCTCAGTATTTTCCTCCATGTTAGAATTATCAAATACAATCACACATTTCTTGAGGACTTCTTGCCTTTTTGAAGGATAGTATTATACATTATTCATTTTACTTCTATTTCCATCTTCCTTTCTGCAGAGAACTTGATCTGAGATTGCCATTCAGTTTGAAATTCTATTCTTGTCTTTATATTGAATTTATTATCATCTTTATTGGAATAGCTCATTAATATTTTGTTTTGGATAAGAAATATTTTGATTGTTCATTGTATTCATGTATTCTCTATATGACTATATCCCTTTCCCATGCAAACAATTTCTATTAAATTTATATAATTATCTTTGATTATTTACTACATCCCCTCCATGCTGAACACATTTTAGTGTACCCCCCCCCCCCCCCTGGTAACTCATATATTCTGAAATAATTTTCTTGATGAACTAAGTTCTGGAAATAAAACTGCAATCCTACACAATGAACGTTCATATATAATATTATAGATAAAGAATTATATTAAGTGTTTTGTGACTAGGATTATATGTATTGCAATAATGTGTAAGGAAGGGCGCAGTTTGCAGGAGTCCCCCGCTAGACTACTTCTTGAATATTGTGATGTCATTGGTTGTTTTTCTGTACTGGATTTGAATTCTTCTAATGTTGTCCCTATTAGTGTCATTGATTATACAGAGATGTGTTATTAAATACATGTAGATGATTCAACAGAGAGCATTATCTGAAATATGTTTTGGTAAATCCCAGTCTGTAGATTTGACTAATGCCAATCGTCCTAAGCTATTCTCATGAAAATGAAAGTTTTCATTCTAAGTCATTTCCCTTTACCCTTATATTTTGGTGCCATGCTTTCACTGCTGGGGATAGTGTATTCATCATTAAAAAAATTATCTGAAACTGCAATATTTCTAGAGAGCTAATTTCTTCCCAGTAAATATCCATATGGGCTTGTGAGAAAATACTGCTAGTTAGTGCAGGGCATTTCCACATCTGAAAAATCTGCACAATGAGATAAAAACAGATTCTGCATTAATCTGCAATAATGTTAATTTTAGTGTAAAATTATGTTGACAATATGGAGCAGAACACAAACTTTCAATGAGTTTTCTAAATTAAAGGTTTGAAGTTGGAAGATAGAACACAAAATTTGCCCGAACTACAAGCTAGTTCTATGACTGATGTTCATTTAATATATCAGCCTCCAAGTGCAGAGAAATATATTTTCAATATGTTTATTTATGATATATAATTATAAATACATCTATCATTAGACTTAATAATAGTAATCTTATCAGTCAGTGGGGTGGTACAATAATCAGTGCCATGAAAAAGTATAGCAAAATAAGCTATGTAAAGTCCCTTACTACCCATGATGAATGACCTTGGCCCTTATATATACAGTAATAAGATACAATCACGTATCATATGTTGCTATTGCATTACACCAGCACATTATTCATTGTCTTGAAACAGGATTCCCCTGGCCAAAGTTTTAGAGGAAGGAAGTAATGCAATAAAAGGGAACTTGAAGAAAGGAGTATGATTTAAAGGGTAGAGAGAGAGAGAGAGAGAGAGAAAAGAGAGAGAGGGAGAGACAGAGAGAGAGAGAGAGACAGAGACAGAGAGAGAGAAGAGAGAGAGAAAAGAGAGAGAGAGAGAGAGAGAGAGGGAATGGGAGAGAGATAGAAAAACTTTTTTTTTTTTTAACTTTGAGGGGGGGGGGGGGTGAAGATAAATACAAGGGTGATACAGAGGGAGAGTTAAAGGGGAAATCCACCCTAACACAGTTCGTTTTAATAGAAGCGGACAAATCAGTGGAACCATTACAAAATTAGAAAGTTATACATTTTTAAAGGTACGATTAATCAAACACAAATTTGCAAGAAGACCTATGTGACATATTTTGCAAGCTCCCCTCCCATTTGCTGTGTAATATTTTCAATTATACTTTCACCCTAACAAATTTTTACAAAAATGTTTTATAAAAACCCCTGTGTAAAGCATATCTATATATCAATAACTTATGAAATGAAAGTTTATGACATTTTCTGTACAGAGAATTGCAGAGAACCTCTTTTCATGTTGCCCATGCCCGATCGACATGTACGTGTGCTGCCTCCCATAACAGCTACATAAAAATTGCCTGAGATCTTTCATGTACTAAAAATGATACTAAAAATAATAGTAATACCCCCCAAAATGCAATGACGAGAGAAAAGAACGTCCTTGACTAGAAATATCTGAATACCGGTATACGTGCATGAACACTGTTCTTTACACAATTTTGGCACAAACATTTACCTTAATGACAATGCAAATGAAGTCACGAGGTTTAGGGCATGACGTCATTCGATCCTTGAATCATAAGCCTGAAAATAACTCTACGCAATCACAAGCATGAGTTCATGATCATCTGACGTTATAATTATGTTGATTATAGAAATATGATATATCATAATTGATATTAATATATGTTCAATTATATTATTATCCAGAATTCTTTCTTTTTGTCTGAAAAAATTGATCATGAGTTCAGTGGAGATGAATAAATTAGTTATCCATGTTAGGATAGCAAAATGCACGACATAAATATACAATATATGAGCAGGAAGGTGTAAGAGCAAACTGCCCGTCTAATCTAGTGCAGCCCCCAGAGATTGAGGTGATCAAGGGTTACTCGTTTTTCGGAGGGTTCATTTTTTCGAAGGTTCATAATTCCGAAACGCAAATCTACCCTGCCAGGTTCATAATTCTGTAGGTTCGTAATCATAAAACCTCTAACTGTAAGTTCGGGAAACGGTTATTCCCCTGTGATGTAATGGTTTTAAAATAAACACAACATGGAAATTTCATACTTCTTTTATGATGGCCATTCTAATCATTTTATGCCGCGATTAACTATAATGTTATTCACTTCTCATTAATTTATACACCTATGAAATTAAGCAGCCAGTAACATCAATAAGGGTGACACTTTTTTTCTCCATAATTATAGTTAAGTTTATTTCTTTATCAAAAAATCACACCCGTCATCAGACGGCCGGCCTATAAGAAGGCCTACGCGTGATACATCAAACAATAATATAGTCATGAAGAATTTGACATGGCCGGTAACATATAGTATAAATATAACATAATCACACACGCAGATAATATGTTCATGTATTACAGCGTAATAAAGGTTTTATGTACATGTATTATGTATGTATGTATAATTGAGATTGAGAGGCGACATATTGAATAGAGCTATATAACCATTGAGATCTCCATGCTATAACAAAGCTCGATCGGGCACTGTTCTGAAAATATTCAAATACTGTAACAGTAAAATTGCCGAATCAGAAAGAGAAAGCACAGAACACATATTTATAGTCATAATTAAATATATTTACCCTTCAAATAAACCACAAGATATTTATGTAAAGAAAGATCTATATATTTCTGATTTGCGTAGGAAAATAAATGTTCTCTATTTGCACATCTCGAACTCTCGGCAGCTATGATGGAGTATGATTAAGTTCAAATGCATATAAATTGCATACAAAGGGTAATTCAGAATTGCACTACACGTAGGAGAAGCAGTGAATTCTTTCTCTATACAGAACTACAACGGTGTCTATACATATCTTTTGGCAGTGTTTGTGACGGAGTCGCTATCGACAAGATCATTCAAAATGGCAAGAGGAATGCAATGGATGAAGTACTGCTTGTTTATCTTCACTTTTGTATTTGTCGTAAGTAATTTTAGACCAAAAAAAATTGAAACAAGTCAGGGAGCCGAGGTCAAATGTATTGGTGGTCACAATAAGTCACAATGACTGTGGCACAATGAACCCGACAAGACTCGTTCATCTGTGACCCTGCATGCAGTTCATATTCACTAATGCATTCGCAAACATGTATTATTTATGATATAATGGATTTATGATATTATTTATGATGGATCTACAATATGAGTATAAAGTCGGGGAAATGACGGTTGTTATCACCAAAATGCACTCCCCGTGCATATGATTTTTAAAAAAAATGCACGCACACGTGATCCATGCATTTCGACGCTTCTCATTGGCTAAATTCTTGAACCCATTTTATAATTTACTTTATCATATCTTGTTAGCCAAAAGGGCATTATATCATATCAATTTACATAGAATCAATGCCTTACTGGTTCTGATCAGAATACAGTCAGTTTTATGACAACATTCCAAAATTAAATTCAACGCATTGCAATCAGCTCAGCTCATTCCTTCAAGTTGACAATCAAGCGCGAGCATCGAAGTTTACTGACAGCCCCAAAGACCGACAAACCAAAGATATACGTCAGAATGTATGTTAATAGAAGAAGAACGTTTCAAAAAGTCCAAGATACCGACAAAGCAAAGGAATAGATACTAATATATCAAGGGAAAATAATTATAGAAGAATAAAGTCGGTCCCCTTGGCTGTATTTGCCAATGAATTAATTTCGAAATATGAAGTATGATTGGATAATCAATCAGTTGTACCTGCATGGTCTCTTTGATTGCAGATCGTGGGTATTGGTTTAATCACTGCAGGCTTCCTAACCCTCACCGTCTACCAGGAGTATGTTGACTATTATTCAGGGAAAGCTATACCTGCCATTCTCATCTCAGTCGGTTTCATCATCATGTCCGTCTCATACGTAGGATGCTGTGGGGCGTTCAAGGAGAACTATAGTTTGCTGAAAACGGTAAGGTTCTCTTGCTTTCTCGGTCCTCTGTACTCTCTCAAATTTAAAGGAAAATCCGCCTTGATATTAAGTTGGTTTCAATTATATCAGAACATTGAGAGGAACAGGCCAGTGAAAGTATGAGCAATCTCCGGTTAGGAATAAGAAAGTTATGAGTTTTTAAAGCTGTGATCAATCGAACACAAATTAGCTATTCTGTGACGTGTCTTGCGAGGTCCCCTCCCATTTACTCTGTACTTACACAAAACAACAACAACAAAATCAGATATTCTAAATTTCCCACGCGCGAGAAAATGTTCAGTCTTAAATGCACCCTAAATATAATTATAGTAAATAATATAGGCCTACAACCCCTGAATGGAAACAAATTTATTCCGTGATCAATAACAAGGAAAATCAAAGTTTATGACATTGTATGTAATCAGTTCAAATTATGTGTATATGCCGACAATACTATTAAACTTTGTAAAGATAAAGCGGTTTCACTTGTTAGAAAGAGCTACAGGTGAGAATGAATACAATCGGACAAAATAATGATTCATAAAGTCGATTAACCTTAAATATAGAGAAATCAAAATGCATGTTGATTGGGACTCGTCCAAATGTGAAGAATATAGAACTACAAATGTATTTAAAGTGTAACAAACTCAAACAAGTTAATGAATTAAAGTATCTCTGATTGATAATAATTATATAGACTCTTGCCTATGTTGGAATTGTCAATGCATGATGTAATAAGTTGTCAAGAACGATTGATGTTACCAGACGCATTTGGTATCTCTTGCCCCAACGAGTTGTATTAATAATATCTAATAATCTCTTTTTACCGCACATTAATGACTGTAATATAATATGGGACAGAGTGCAACATGCAATATTACAAGAGTTCAATAATTACAAAACCTATAGGCCTACACCTCACTTTGTTACCCGAACTTTCTTGGCAATCAGTTCGTCAAAGAATTAAGTACCTAACCTGTCTATGTAAAATGTATAAAATCTGAAATGATCTCATG